TAAATGACACTGAAAACGAGGAAGATACTAAAGTTTTGCATTCATCGACACAGATGCGTACAAATGTGCTATTGAAGACTGCTGTAGCTCCTGTATGGTCAGGTTATATATGTATGGATACGAATGTTTTATTTGATGAGGGTGCACAAAGATCTTTTTTAACAGATGATCTAGCGAAGAAATTGAATTTGAAAACTGAAGGAGCTGAAGTTGTAAACCTATCGGCATTTGGAAGGGACAACACAAGCACGAGAGAACTACGCAAAACCACCGTATTTGTCGAAACCGAAAATAGTCGTTAATTTCCTATTGAAGTCCTTATTGTTCCTACTATAGCAGTTCCAATTCATAATCATATGCGGTACGTAAACCGAAATATGGATTATCTCAAAGGGTTAAGACTCGCTCATCCAGTTACTCAGGACGATTCTTTTGAGATATCGTTACTTATTGGTGCCGACTACTATTGGAACTTTATCGAAGACGAAGTAATAAGAGGAGACGGACCGATCGCGGTTAAGTCAAAGCTTGGGTACTTATTATCAGGACCCTTACAACCAGGAAGGGTACGTTCGTCTACGACATCCAGCATCTTGAACGTACTGGTTTCGAATAAATCAGAGGAATTTGGCTTAAAAGAAATTATAAAGGAACAGACACGTCGCGGATTTATCGAGAGAGATGAGGAAGCAGAACCGACAGGGAAAATGTTAAAAGATGGACTGAATGATACGTATCTAATGAACTGTTGTGACTTATTATGGACTGTTACGAAAATGTTTGATTTATTGACTTACTTTCAAAAATCGATTATATGATACTATTTCATTGAAAGAAGGAACAGGTGCACGGAAAATATAGACATACTGTGATTTGTGTATACGAGATAGATTCATTGTGATTTAATTCGAAGATAACTAATCTGGAAGTTAATGACTGTGCTAAAGTTTAAGTTTTGAATTTGAGAAACAGTAATTTTAATTCATTTTCACTTTATTGTTAATTAATTTTAATATTTACTTTTAGCGGCCCGGAGAATGTTGAGAATACCGCGGGAGTTAAGACGTCGCGTTTTACCAATTGTATCTAGGGTTGACGTCAATGCGGGACGTAGCCTTAGCAGCTCGAATATATATGAAGTAAACGTTAAACTGTATGGTTGTGTTCTTTCTGTATAACGATAGTTGAGTTAGCCCCGACACCACCTCCGGGTGCGGGATTTTTCTCGCTGCATTGAAGACCCATTGGTGGCCTTCGGCTGTTGTCTGCTCTTTGGTCGGGTTGTTGTCTCTTTGACATATTCCCCATTTCCATTCTCAATTTTATTACAGTAAAATTGGAGAAGAGCAGTCTGCAGATGATGCTGAAGATTGACCACCAGAATTATTGGTAAATTAATTGGACTCCACTTACTTTTAGTGGTTTTCGTCCATCAATAGAAACTGTACACTACATTATAGCCAATAGTACTGAAAATTAATCATCATCCCTTTACTTTCACGGTTCATTGGTCACTTGCAAGTTTTCTTGATTGGATCTTTTTTACAATAAGTAATGGGATAATTATATTTGGTCTAGAATGATTGTAAGGTATACATGTCTGTTTGACAGGTTCCTCTGCAGTGGCGGATCCAGGGGTTGGAACCTTCCTTTTTTTTGACGATCAATGCATTTGAATGGGGACATACAGTTGGAACCACCCCCTCCCCCAACAACCCCCCCCCCCCTTTTATCCTGGGTTAGGAACCCCCTTTCAGAAATGACTGGATCCGCCCGCCCCTGCTCTGACCTTGTCTTCAATTTGATAGATGATTTAGTGTTAAGTTTATATGACACCTGCAGTAAGACTCAACATCAAATTCAGTTGTAATCATCATAGCAGGGGAGACAATTCACCGTGTGCACACTTATTTCGATGTCATAGCAAATGTAACTGGAAACATTGAAAACAAAATTTGTTTTATGCCTCTTGTTTAAAAGAAAATAGGTATTGTCAATTCTTTTTTTGGACATGTTAATGATATATTTGTGAATATTGCAACAAGTCGGTTGACATTGCCAGTACAAGAAATGTAATTTTGTACATGGTATTGAGTCACAGTTCTGCATTCTGATTCAATATTTCTGTTGATAAAACAAAGTGATTCTTAATATGTGAATTTTATTTGTACTTCCAAGTGGATTTTTAGAAATAATATATATATATATAAGGATATGTGGTTACAGATGTCATGAAAACAACTTAGAAATAATACTAAAGACATACAAAGTACAGATCTAAGAGAACAGTTACTGAAAGCTAGTTTGTTTTGTTTCCAAGAGTAATGACATAATAATATTTTATGGCATGCTTATTTTAGTTTTTACACGGAGGACATACAGCAAAGATCTCTGACTTCTCGTGGAACCCAAATGAACCCTGGGTAATATGTTCTGTATCAGATGATGATGATGGTGGATGGCAGCTTAACGTCCAGCGGTAAATTAATATGCATATTCAGGACGAGAACATTTTAATGTGATATGAATATTAGCCCTGCATTGTACAAGACCGACACGCCAAGCCGGAATTTTAACGTGCTAATTCACACAATAACAGTCCATGTCACTTTACCCACACACATTATTCTGATTCTGAGCCGACCAGTCTTTGTTCTTACTCCTTAAGGTGGCTCGGGTGTCTTCCTCCATTTTGGATTCTGAAGTAGCAGATAACGTTGGTCTAGATTTTTGATGAAATGTACAAATTTTGAGAGTAGTATATAATTTATGTAAAAGACTTTTGATGTAAATATAGAAAATTGTGTGTTTTATCATACTTACGGTTGTAATTTCTCAAAAACACCTTATTTGGGTTTAATTAGATTTTTTTCAACTTTGCCAAATAAGGGGAGATAACTCAGATAAAGTAATTTTTATAATAGAAAGTGTTGTGAATTTACCTTTTTTGATATTTTACAAGAAAACAAGTTCGGTGACCCCATTTTGTCTTTTTCTTATATGAAAGCATGTTATAAGAGCTATCTTCACACATTTTATCTTAAAGTTCTATCAAGTAGTTTTCTTTTTATCACACAAAATTTGATTTTCCATGCATAATCTATACAAAATCGGACAATTTTGCACGACCTGTAGCGAAAAAAAAGTCCGGTGGCCCATGCTTTTTATTATATTTTTGAAAAAGCATGATAAAACTTCATTTTAACAAATTATCAAAAATCTATCAATTTTAATTAAGACGCCCCAGCCACCTTAAAGCCGCGTGCTTAGCGGAAACGCAGCAAATGTCAGTTTTAGTCTTTGGTTTGACCCGGCCGGGGTTCGAACCCACGACCTGCCGCACTCGAGGCGAACACGCTACCACGAGACCACCGAGGCGGTTTTTCAGAAAATAACATCATGCAGGTCTGGTAAGTCTGGTTAATTATTGTATAATGATATGAATAGAAAGATGAAATACAGGCAGAAGATACCATTGGGATTATAAAAATCGAAGTTGATTCTTCATCAAGTGTCTGTACAACATGTCAATGCTCTTAATTTACCCAATAACCCTGTAATTGGGGAAGGAGTGAACAGATTTAACAGACTGTCCGACAGAGATCAGCAACATCACTTTTTAACGACACCCCACTTTAAGATATAACTGGACAAGTGACAAGATTCCTGACCTGAAATATTCATTTAATGTTATTCCAAAAACAGGTTGTGCACAATTATATGGGTATTTTACCTTTATGTAATATTTATGTTTTGAGTGTACTCAATGAAGGTTATTCCAGAAAAGTGTCATTGAAAAGAAAAGATAATAACCAGTGTGGAAATATCCTTTATTAACTCTCTCATTGTTTGTCCTGTGAGTGGTAAATTTGATGCCCTTACCACGTAGTCATTTTAAAATCAAGTAAGTGTCCTGATTTTTGTTTCCTCATGCCTGTAGATTTTGATGGGGACGTACAGATTAAATTTGCTTGAGTCGTCCTGATTTCATATCTACACATTTAGTTTAGAGCTATCTTTGTACTGTGTTTTTTTTCAGTTGTAACTCGTCATAAAATATTTGATATTTTTCAGGCTGAGAATATCTACAATGATGCAGAGCCTGATACTCCAGCAACCGAATTAGAGGCCACTGCTTCATGATGTGTGTGACTTCAGTATCATTTAACATTACTTATAACATACCGACTTTAAATAGCAGTGCTGATAAATTATTCGTGTAAATCTTGTCATTAAAAATACATGTTGTAGAAGACAAGACAGGTGTTATTCCATGGTAAAACATCAAATAAGTTTTACATTTAGTTTCATACTTCAAAAGGTAAGAAATAAAATCATCTTTGTTTTGTATATAAAAATACCTTATGGTTGTAAAACAATGTTTCTTTATGTAATTTTATACTAGAGTTCAAACCTTGGTGTTATCTCCCGCCGTTGGGAACATAGTCATAGTTTTTGTCTATCTGAAACCACGCTTAAACACATAGATGGCTCAAATATTTTCTTACTTTGTAGGATTCCCTGATCAAATTTTCTTGATCATACTATGCTGTCATTTGGATTTTATCATTCTTGCCAGAGTTAATGGACTTTTTGGCCTTCTAGTGGTGCAATCAGGGTTTTGTTTGTGCAATAGGGTTTATAAAGGGGTACTTTGAGGGGCAAAAAAAGAAAGGAGGGGTTTTCTGTAGAACCTTGACTGTTATATTATTTTTTCTGCACTCAATAATACATGAATATCAACCATTTTGAATCTCTAGGATATTTGTTTTCTACATGACCTAATTGTGTCGAATTATTTTCTTGTCATTACTTCAAGCAGCAGCCTGGAAGACATGGTCCATACGAATTTGACATATAACCTTGACCTCCCTCTTTATTTGTAGAAATAACACACATATATATATATATATAATATGTATATATGTATATAATGTAAATACAAAATAAAAAAAAAAACATTTACATATTTTGATTCAATACCACAAAAAATACAAACTAAAAAACATTTAATTTTATAGTTTGATCATTTATAAGGTCCCTGGTAACTTTGTGGCAGTGAACTAGTGATAGCTGTCTTGTCATTTAGTACTTCTAAATTGTATGGGATGTTAAGATTCAACTTATTTCAACATTTATATTTGAAGTGTTTATCTGGCTTAAATCTAAACAAAAACGTTTGATTTGGTCTCCATTAGCATATCAATCTAATAAATAAATGGTCTGTATCAAGATGTCTTCTGGTTCAGATTAGTTTTTCCCAATCAGCTGGAACAAAGTTTTCTCATCTTCATTCAGTTGGGATGTATATTCAATCGTCGTACTGAAATGGGAAATAATCTGGTTAATTTATAAACCTTACTTAGTAAAGTAAAAATGCAATTTATGAGTATTCTAGTTCTTATAAATAAGAAGATGTGGAGAAACAAGAAACACCTATGAACCACACCAACCAACGACAACCACTGAACAACAGGCTCCTGACTTAGGACAGGTGCACAAAAATGCAGCGGGTTTAAACGTTTTAACAGGCGCCAACCTTCACCCTAACCTGAGACAGTAGTGTAACATTACAACATAAAAACTTACCCACTTTTCTTTTGTTGATGACTATATTGACCTATAGATGTCTTTGGTTTTTTTTGTGTTGTTTGGTTGCTGTCTCATTGGTTTATTTATCCACATCTCTTTATTCATATATATATTTTTGAACATGGCAAACTTCATAAAGTACTTAAACTACTTTTTTGTCACTCTGTGGTTATTACCAGAATATTAAATTGGCATTACTGATAAGAACAGCAATAAAATTTGCAAACATAATTTTGATTTTTTTCTAAAATGCCCATCAATATGAAACTTGTGTAGTACTTTCAAAATGGTTTTCATGCCAAGAAGCTGTTGACTAAAAAGAATTGAAATCTTTCAAAAATAAACATTAAAAATTTACATTTAGAGAAATTCATGTTACTGATAAAAAGACATTTGCAAAGCTGAAACTTGACTTAAAATGTTGGTTATATATTTGTCTGTGAAAAGCATCTAGATCCTTAAGGGCTATTCCAGAATTAAGTTTAAGGTGGTCTTGAGGATTGAAAGGAGCCTAATATTGATAAAATAGGGAAAGTGGGATGGATTCAGTACACATTTTTACATAATAATTCCTTGCATTTTGAATTGTATAGGTAGGGTTTAGGGAAAAACTGCCTTTCATCCCCTAAAAATTTTAATTTTGAAAAAGTTCTTATAGTCATCCCTCATACATTTAATTTTGGAATAGCGAAGGCTTTATAGAAAAATAATTTTAACTCATTAACGACAACATACCTCTTGCATCATTTTATCATGTGCTCTTACATCCCATAATTTGTCTGGTTTCATTAGTTTGTCATTCAGTCTTAAGTCAAATATTTCAAAAGCTTGAAGCATCTGGAAAATGATTCAATTTTTTTATACCTTGATATTTTTAGATTTATTTCATTTTATTCTACACCAAAAAAGTCAAATAACAAAAATACCTCAAACCTCAAACGAATGGAAAACAACTGTCACCTTCCTGACTTAGTACAGGCATTTTCTTATGTATATCATTATTTTATTTTATTTTACTCTTGGATCTTTTCTCATCATCAACACAATTAGAAAATCATGAAATATATTGTGCAAACTCTGCTGGAAAGGGATAAATTTGAAAATAACTTGGTTTACTGTATGTGTTGTATCATTCCTTTTTGTAATCTGCATATAAAACATGCTTCCAACACTTCAGTTTAGTGACCTTGAAAAGGGAGGTAACACTAAAGACAAATTCAAACTCAACATTTTTGAGAAAATATTTTCTTTAATTACAAGCCTAAGGAAAAGTCATTTAAATTTTTTATAGGCTTTGTGCTAGTGTGAATTCCAAATTGCATTGACCATTCTCTGTGGGGTCTTACAAATTAAGTTCATTTCTTCTATACGAAGTAATAAAACAAACCTGAAAAGCACATCTGTTAAACGGCATTCTACCAACAGCAGTCCCAAGACCAGGACAAAGAACCCTTCTGATTGGCTGATTTTCTGGGTTTCTGTTGTGTTTCTGTACTGCAATAGAATATACACATTAATGAGTTGATATATTTGTCAATTATCAAAGTGTTTCTCCTGCAACAGTCCTTTTTTTACACTAGGTCCATTTGCTAGACCTTAAATTGTGTATTTCTTGTTTATTTCCACAGATTATGTATACAAATTGTATTGGGGTTCAAAGGACTAGAGAGGGTAATTTTCAAAAGTAAATGGTGATATTGAAACAAGGCAATTATACATATACATATTAAACTTTCCCTGATTGGTCTACGGGTGACTGGGGAACAGAAATATGATCCCTTTGGTTTTCTTCCGATCAGCACTAAACCCTTGCCAAAGTGGAGCAAAAAATCAGCAATGTTTTACTTTATCTACGTAAAGATCTGTCAAAATAACTCCCTTAAAAGAAGAATATGATAAACAAAGTAGAATCAGAAATGATTTACATATCTATTTAAATACCTGCCAAAATGACTCCTCTAAAAGACTGATACCGGTAAGCTTTAGTGGAGTTTATGATATGGTATGCGTAATGATTCATCTATGTAAGTACCTGGCAAAATGACTCCTCTAAAAGATAGATAAGCATTAGTCGAGTTTATGATATAGTATGAGTAATGATTTACATATCTATGTAAATACCTGCCAAAATGACTCCTCTAAAAGACAGATAAGCATTAGTTGAGTTTATGACATCTTTTGGTACTCTCATAGTCGGGACGTGTATGAGGTATTTGATTGGTTTACCATTACTTATATTATTGGTCTTTAACTTCTGAATGTGTTCTTTGTCTGGGTCTTTGTCATGGGCTGGGATAATGATTGCATTTCCCTACAAAATACAATGCATGTTTTTGATAAATTTGAATAAAATAACTTTAGGTGTATTAATGCCAACAAAACCAAAAGAAAAGAAGACACCTGAAATCAGATGCATTTTATTTAGTGGTTGTTGTTGGTTGCTGTTTTTTTTTTATTGCTTTAGCATAAATCAGGTTGTTCTGGTTTTCCTGTTTAAATATTATAGTTATACAATTTTTGTCGTTCATTTTATATATACAATATGCCAATTTCCATATATCACTCCATCACTCAACAAGTTTAGAATAAATTATAATTTTTAGACAGTTATTTTGAAAGATCTGCCACCAATACCAAATTCAGTGGTGTGGAACCAGTGTAGCATTGTAAATAGATATAAGAAGATCACATACTAACAAATAATTTTAGAGAAAAAAAAAATTTCAATTAGAATTTTACTATAAATCTATTATAGTTATCGATCAACTTCAAACAATCCCCCTCCCCAGCCCCTTGCTCACAATTTATTTCCAAGTGGCTACGCCACTGAAATTTACTAATTGACAAAAATTGTGCTGTTGTTAGATCTGATGAGGTTACAGTAAATCCTCCGTATTGCAAACTTTCAACATAAATTCAATCATGATAAGTACAGCAGGCGAGAAATTTCAGCGAGTGCACTCTTGTATTTTAAAATATACATTCTTACAACACTTTTATATTAAGGAATAGTTCAAAGAAAAGGTGTACTCTACTCACCACAAAGTTTTCTCCATCATATTGATCCCTGATTACTTTCTGTATCCGTTCTTGCCTGAAGAAAAAAGGTAAAATATTATCCACTGATCAACTGTAATATATATAACAACTTTAGTATATTACATATAGTTTGCTTCAAGGGTAAACGGTAGAAACACAATGTACATTGGCTAGTAATATTTTGTGCTGAAAACATAACTTATACTTTCATCCAATTTTTGAACTGCTTTTAGGTAAAAATATGAAATCTACAATTACTCAGTCATAACAGTTAGCCTAATATTCACTTAATTGTCTGCTAAACCTTAAATAAGCATTAGAACAGTCGTAGCAGTATATAAAATCCAGGGATGGGGGGGGGGGGGGGGGGGGGGGGGGGGGGGGGTCCAGCCATTTTTTAAAGGGGGGTTCCAACCATATGACCCCATTCAAAAGCATTGAACGTCAAAAAAGGGGGGTTCCACCACTGAAATCGTAGTAAACATTGCACTGACCTGAATCTCCTGGAAGGGGGAGGTAATGCTTTTTTTAATATAGATAATTAGAAAAAAAATTAAAACATTTATTTTCAAAATGTATTCTTTGCTTTTAAATAAAATTGAGAATGGAAATGGGGAATGTGTCAAAGAGACAACAACCCGACCAGAGAGCAGAAAACAGCCCAAAGGCCACCAATGGGTCTTCAACACAGCGAGAAAATCCCGCACCCGGAGGCGTGCTGCAGCTGGCCCCTAAACACAAATGTGTACTAGTTTAGTGAAAATGGACGTCACACTAAACTCCGAAAAATATAATAGAACTAAAATTATAAAACATGAAGACTAACAAAGGCCAGAGGCTCCTGACTTTGTTTTTGTATATTTGTATATTTTTGAGAGAAAAAATGTTTTTGTCACGAGAAAACTAGCCAACCCTTCCCCACACAACACATAAATGGCCGGTGTCTTGAATGCAGTCATAATAACTCCTTTAATTGGATTTAGGCAGATATCATCAATAGAAATCATCTTAAATATCTCATAAATGATTGCAGTTAACCAGTACACTAAATTTAATATTTGGTATTTTGAAAAATTCAACTCAATTATCATGAAATGAGCATAAAAAGTTGACAATAATTCATCATAAGACAACAAATTATATGCCAAAGTAACATCCTTAGCCTTTTGTAGCAGTCTGTTATTGTCCAGTTAATGCATCATTTCAATGTACGTCATGTTTTTGTTAAAGTTGATTTTGACTAAACTTTAGAAGCAAATACTCAGAAATATGTTTCCTTAATAGAGAGAAAACAAATTAAGACTCACATTTGCCATCCAAACAGCTCTGAAAATACTCGATCTATTCCACCATCCATAAATCCAAAGGCATTTGCTGGAGACACCTATCAATTAGAACTGAAAATTGAGATGCACTTCCTGGAATCAGCCTGTACTGAGAAAAGATTAAACTTAGAATTTTCCTTGGAGTTCGGTATTTTTGTTATTTTCCTTTTTTCGTGAAACAATTACTACCTAAAATCAACATGTATATACAGCAATCATTTTTACACAGAAAACAAATTTATCAAATTAAAACAAAAATTAAAAGCTAATTCCGTAAAAAATCTTTTTGTGGATGTTAATGATTTCAGCAATAGTGACTTATTTGAGGTTCTTGTCTTGATGATCATTTTTGCTGTTTGAAGTTCTTTTCTATCTTTAATAGTTTCAAAGTAATTCTCAAAAATGCAAAAATTAGTAAAAATCATCATTAAAGAGCAATAACTCCAATAAGGAGTTGACTCACCATTTCGGCCATTTGAGTTGTTTGTAAATCTTGTTTTTCTGGATAATTTTGCTGTGAAAAGTGTCTATCTATCTATCTATTATAGGTTTCAAGATTATAGGCAACCCCCCCCCCCCTCCCCCCCCCCAAAAAAAAAGGGTAAAAATCGTCATTAAAGAGCAATAACTCCAATAAGAAGTCAACTGACGACTTTGGCGATTCAAACTTAATTTTATATTATCTTACAGATAATTTAGCTATTAAAAGTTTCTATCTATCTTTTATATTTTCAAGTTATTTGGAAAAAGTGCAAAAAAATGGTCAAATCGTCATTAAAGGGCAAGAATTCAAATTAGGAGTCGACTCACGATTTTTGCCATTTTGTTCTCTCTGCCTATTTAATTTTTCAAGATAATTGGCAAAAATGGAAAAAAAGTTAAATATGTCATTTATGCGCAATAACACTTATAAAAGGTGGTCTAACAGTTTTCATATGAATGGACAGTAGGTCGATCTAAACATTCTGAACATATCTGCTATTCAGATCTTCTCCATTTTACCCCTATGTTCTATTTTTAGCAATGTTAGCCATGTTGGTTGGTAAGTCGAATTTAAAGGGCATATTTGTTTTTAATTAGATACCCAAATGAAAATGATGGCTAAGTTTAGTTAAATTTGACTTAGTAGTTTCAGAGGAGGACATTTTGGTAAAAATTAACGGACTGTCACGAAATAGAAGTTCCTTCATAATATAAGTTCCAAATGGAAAAAATATTCTAGAACATTATTTCCACTGGAATAAATATTACAGGATATGTTCCTAACGGAATAAATGGTATAGAATATTTGTTCCAACAGGAACATATTATGACATTGTTTATAACAAAGTTTCCAGTGGAACTTCTGTAAGCCGGAACAAATATACGTCGACAGGACGACGAAGACATATACGACGGACAACGGACGCCAAGAGAGAAAAGTGAGACTTGGTCCTTAGGGCAAGGTGTGAGCTAAACATATAATTAGATTGGTATTAGTACTTACAACAGCATCTACTTCAGGAGTACCAGCAAATATATCACCCTCTGTAGCCTGAAATATAAAAAAAAACAATAACTGTACCGACAGGTAACACTTCAATGGTGAAACCTATGACTGGGGTTATAAACTGGCTCACTGCTCTAGTAAGAAGAAACTGAAGCAGATATCTGGAAAGGATCTCACGCTACAGGAATGATGATCAATAGAAAATGGATTATTACAGTATGGAGCCCTCTGTTTCTTTGTGACTTTTATCCTAAATGTAAATAGTGTATAGAAATGTGAGTGATTGCTTATCTTTTTTTTATTTGAACCAGTCTTTTGTTTGGCGGAGTCTCAATTTTTTATTCTTGCTTGTACTGAAGGTATTAATGTGTACAGAATTAGGATAAACCAAAGGGTGTTGAGGGAAAGTATGGTTTTGTATGTTAAAGCACTTGCAACAATGTACTCTTAATAGGTGGCTTGAGTAGCTGTCCACACTTCTCATCCTTCATTTCCAGTGAACCAAAATTTCGGAACCTACTTTTTTGATTTATTGATCAATTTCTTCTCATTCTGAATATGCAAAAATATGTTTGCTCCTAGCTGTTAATTAAGCAAGCAAGAATCAATCAATCTTACTTACTAGTTTCTTTGTCGAGTTTTTCTATAAAGATCTTAGAAACGTTCATTTGTTTGTAGTTGTATTCATTCCTTAAAAGTCTTTAACAGTCGGGCAATGAATGACAGAATTTATACGGAGTTATCACTTGTTAAAGTTACTATGCTCCTGCATATGTTTCTTCTAACACAAATTTAGCAGTTATTAATTACTATCATATTCATGGAAAGAATGTTTGCTCCTAAAATCCAAAATAACAACAAAATGTCATAAATGACATCTTTTTCAATGTCTGTGTTCAGCAAAATATGCCATAGCAGTAGCAAATTTAATAATGTGTATTACCATACAGACAGTGTGGATTGATTTTAATGGGTTACTAAGATTGAGGAAAATATTTTGTGAAAATTCTTGATTGCACATTGTACTTGAATGAGGGTCTGGATGGAGGGTCCTTCATTTCTTTTTTTTTAATTGTTTTGACCATTTTTCTCTTCTTTATTTATTTTTAACATGTTTTTCTATTATTTATTTATTTTTACCATTTTTTCTCTAATTTTTATATTTCAGAACCCCATTATTCTCTATATTCTGTATTTTTTTAGCCTATTTTTATCAATTCTTTATTTTTTTCACCCTTTAATCTGCACTTTTTGTCCTTTTTTCTCTATTTTGTAAACCCCATCCAGACCCTCTTGAATTATGCAGACTAAGGGAGCTACCATTTGATTTTTATGGGGGGCTAGGATGAAATTTGAAAAAAAATAGGCAGGACAGGAGTTTTGAGTTAAAAAAAAAAGGCAGGATGACAACTTATGTAAAAAAAGTCAGGATAAACTAAGAAAAAAAAAGGCAGGACCGAATAGAGTGAAAAATAAAAAGGCAGGACAGAGATTACAACTTAAAAAAATGCAGGACAAAATTTTCATCCTAGCCCCCATAAAAATCAAATGGCAGCCCCCTAAATGCCTTTCATTATTGTTTTCCTGAATCATTTTTTTATACACAGATTTTACTGTAATACCTTGACCCTAGCTTCTATTTTATACACAGATTTTACTGTAATACCTTGACCCTATTTTCTATTTTATACATATTTTACTGTAATACCTTGACCCTATCTTCATATTTTCTGAACTTCTGTTTCCATTCGTCTACCATTTTACGTTTAATATCCCTGAGATAGTATGTAACTTTGATGTCATCTCCATGTTGTGCATATGTCTCCTCATCAGCTGATTTAACAGTCGAAGATTCTAGCTTTTCAAGTCTTTTCACTGTTGAGTCTATTTCTGTTTCTGCCATGGAAGCCAGAACTTATTCTTTTCTTTAGAATAGAACTATTGTTTGGGATGACTGAAGGCTGAAGTTTTTATCTATTAAACCCTAACAAAAACATTACAAACAACAATAACATCATATATTCCAGAGGTTGGGTTTCCTATAAGATTTTCCTCGACAAATATTGCTTCATACAACTAGCAAGATTATCTACCTTGGGTTCTTAATGGTAAAGCGCACGCAGAATATAAAATCAATTGGATATTAAATTAAACATAACACTAAATAAAACTTAAAAGCAAATGTAAGGAACAATTAAAGTATGCCTAGCTGTATTTCAAAATGTTTAAGAATGAATACAATATGAAATATAAGTGTTCTTTTTTTATATTAGATCATTGTTTATTACACTGTTACACCAAAATCTAAAGGGGCTTCAAATATGATATGTTGCCTTTCTGTTGGCACTGAGTGTATACATTAACTCCTCATTAGACTTTAAACAATATATAACGTAACATTTTGGAAGTCTACCATTATATTCAACAATTACATGTAATTGAATCAAAATCAATACCCCCCTTTTTATAAAAGATTTATTTATAGCAAAAAAGATGCTGAAAAATAGTTCATACGTATGCCTAGCAGTATTTCAAAATGTTTCAGAATGAATACAATATAAAATATAAAGTTATTAAAGCACTGTTTAATTATTACACCAAAACCTGGATCCATCTAATTCAAACGGGGCTTCAAATATGATGTGTAACAGTTGCATTTTTATTGGCACTGAGTATATACATTAACTCCCCATTAGACTTTAAACAGTATACAACGTAACATTTTGGGTTGGTTGCTATTAAATTTAACAATTACATGTAATTGAAACAAAATCAATAACAGATTTATTTATACAAAAATGAGGCTGAACAAATTAATCTTGATTTTACTAACTGTCTGATCTAAGACTTTTTCTACTACTAAACAATTATTGATATCAAAATAAATGTTCAGTTATTCTGGTATTATTAAGTATTGAAAAGTAAAACATGAAACTTACCTTTGAACATTTGCTTTTTTATGTTTTTATCAGAATATTTTGAAGTGTTATATACCTCCAGCTTTGGGTAACTGCCAGTGAGAAACCATTTACCATATAAAGACATATGACCTCAAACTAAAAACAGTTAATCATACATTCCCATTCTATAAATAAAGCTGATTTTCCCTGGACAATTTTGAGTTACCTCTCTTGCAATAGTTAACAAAATACAGACTCAGCAATCACTGTTTAAGAATCGAAACTGGCAGACATGAACGTTTTATCAATGTATGTGGTAAACAGGGGCGTAGCTACCCGGAGGCACGACAGCACGTGCATCCACGTCATTTTCACCCCTACCCCCCCCCCCCCCCTTCCCAAAAAAAAAAAAAAAACAGAGAGAGAAGGACAAAGTTAACAATAATAGGTATTGGTCTTTCTATGTATGCATTTTAAAAACTACACAAAGAATAAAAGCAAGAGGAACACACATGCAGCGAAATTTTTAATCCTGTATAAGACATGTATGTGTACGATAAAAACATACAACTGGTGTAACTATTAGCGGAACTTTTTATATTAAAAACAAAAAACCTACATTGTTGCCGATACCACCACCATAACGTATACTCGCCTCAAGTGCAAAAAAACCCAGAATCCTCCTATAGGGTTAACACAAAAACTTGAAAATTGTTATTTTCCGCTTCGCCCAAAGCACACATCTTACTAGAAGGAAGACTCTTCAACTCGTATCGATCCGGGAATAATTACTGTTACCTTGTGAACTAGTTCAAAATTGACTAAGTATGTAGGTCTTGACAACACATATAGTTCATTTTCACATCACGTCAACGTATTCTCGTCCTGGTATGCATGTAATATTTGCTACCGCACATTAATAACCATTCAATCAATCAATAGTTTCTGTATACTAGTACATGAGAAGTTGGAACTGCTGTTAATATAAAAAAAAAAGTACACATTCCCAGAACATGTATTACGTTATTTATTTATTTTACACAAATACATCTTCTATATAGATTCGATAATTCGAAATCGTTTGTATATGGGCCTGCTATACGAATGGTTGATTGTAAAAGCATTTAAATAAATTGTTAATTCTAACTCGTTTTCCTGGACTATTTGGTCATTCAATTTTATTATGAATTTTCTGTCCGAGTCGGGCTCTGAACTGCTGATTCTAGTTCGAAAGATACACCAAACTTTTAATACACGTATCTTTACTGTTCGAATGCATATGTATTTGTAATTAGCTGGATAATTAACAAATGCAGATCATGAATAAGATCGGGATCAAAGTACCATTCCCTCTGGAAATGTTCATTAATTTCAACTTCGAGAATACCTAACAGCATAAAATTAGAAATTCCTATCTCTCTCTTGTAGAGTATACCCACAAAATTTTTAAACATCTAAATACATATGTTAAGCAAAATATTGGGGAATGTGTTCACCAAGTATTTGGTATCCAATGGTGTTTATGCTAACAGAAACTCAACATATAGTATTGTGTTTATGTTTATTGTTTGTTTTTTTATACACCTACTTTGATCAATACAAATACTAGCATATGGAACAAATCTCCGTGATTTTAAAAGCTCTCACGGCGTACAAAAAACGAAAACGATAATGTTTAGCCTTTATTCGACTCGAAGTTAAACAAATAGTTGACCTAAAAAACAACAACAAAAATGTCCGAGTTTTATTACGGTTGTGATTTTTTTTAAAACGCTATATATGGAGACCCATCGCCCTTTAGTTTGTGATTCCACTTCATCAAAAAGGTAGATACGCCCCTGGTAAATATGAAATATTACCTCGACAAGAGAGGATATGTTTATATTGTAATTCAAATTCTATTGAAAATGAAATGCACTTTCTTCTGGAATGCCCTCTTTACAATAACCTCAGAAGAGATATGACTGATTATATCAAAAAATACCCCAGTTTAGTTAATTTAAACAGAATAGATCTTTTTACATGGATCATGAGTAATGAAGATAGCAGGTTTTTATCTATTTTATGTACATACCTTGATAAAGGCCTGCAACTTAGAAAATCAGAAAATTAGTTAAATACTCTAATAGATAGCAAAATTATCTCCCCTTGACCACTCACCCTTTCCTCATGCATTTGAACTACATGTATTATTTTATGTTTCTTTAATCACTCTGTAATGTCTATGTCATGTTGTTATTAATGTTATGCTCTTAATGGGCCCTTTAATTTGGAAAAATAAAAATATTGTATTGTATTGTATTATTGTATTGTATAATAGTGATTTACAAATATCTGTTTATTTTACTGGAATAAAAGGCTCATAAGAGCTTAAACTGCTCACCATGCAAACAAGATATGGCATTTAATATTTGATTTTTACACTTTTTAGTATGGTACATTAGCTACAGTTTAAGAATTAAATTACATTCAAACTTCTATATAAAGCCTTTCTAGGGCAAGACAAGTAAGTTAAATCAAGGAGAATAACAATTTTCTTCGGTTTTAGGACAACAGAAGTTATTTACGATCAAAATAGGGTTGAAATTTTTTGAAATTTTTTTTCAAGCTCCCCACAACTTACCCACCCTTAATTCATATGCCCGTCCACTTTGAAGTCATCACAATATCAAAGACTACAAAAACTGATATGTAGATCTTAGCGTATTTTTCAATCTTAAACTAAGACTGAGTTTACATTTTCTCTCAATATTCTAATTTTAGCCATGGTGACCATTTTGGTTGGCTGTTAGGAACAAAAAACACTAATTTTATGCTAGATAACCTAAGGATCATTCAGTTTAAGTTTGGTTGAAATTGGTCCTGAAGTTTCAAAGCAGATTTGTTTTTAATGAATGGACAACAATTGGACCTCAAGTTATTGCAAATGCACAGATGGTCCCTTGGTTGGAGCCAGATAAACTTAACCTGACGAAAAATTCGCCAGTTTGCTAATTAGGACATTTATATGCACATACTATAGTTATTCTTTGTGTTGCTAATCATTTTTGCAATAAACATGTTTAACCTAGCTCCTATAGCTTTTTAGATAACAGCCGAAACTGCAAAATAAACAGTAAAAAAAAACAACATTTCAAGGGCAATTACTCCAAAACAGGTTGTTAAAAATATCAGAGTAGATAGATTTTTCTTTAATTTTCAGGGTAGATACATAAATAAACTCATCACAAATACATTTTGTTGTGATGAACCTTTTGGAATTACACTTTAAACCTAGCTCCTATATGTTTTATGATAACAGCCAAAAACTGCAAGCAAACAAATATTATTTCAGGGGCAATTACTCCAAAACGAGTGAATAGATTTTCCCCAATTTTCAGGAATAATACATCTTGTCATGCTGATCATTTTTGCAATTTACACATTTAACATAGCTCCTATGGTGTTTGAAACAATGGCAAGGAAAAGCCGCAAGTGTCAAAAATCTTTTCAGGGGCAATAACTCCAAAGCAGGTGGATAGACTTTCCAAAATTTTCCAGGTAGATATAACTTGTGCTGACAGTTTTTACCCTGTCAGAAGAATTTCTCTTATTGCTATACTTTCAGAGATATGAGCCATAACTTTACTTTGACCACTCTGTTCTATTTTTAGACAAGGCGGCCATGTTGGTTCATTAACCTAGACGAAAATCACAACCTTCATAGTTGACATGCTATAGATGAAGCAGACAATCTTTGGTTTCAATCCATTGAGCAGTTTTAGAGCAGAAGATTTTTAAAGAAAAGTTTATTGACGATGGTGGACGGACGAAGGACGCAAAGTGATAGCAAAAGCTCACATGGCCCTTTGGGCCAGCTGAGCTAAAAAAGGACTATTATGCAGCAATTTGTAAAGATTTTTTTTTAATCAGTTTTCATAATATGTTCTTTTCTTTGGATTTTTTTTTAAATCTGAAAAAGCCAAGGTTGCAAATATAATTTACTAATCGACTCATGAAGTATGA